AATGTGCAATTTTCATTCCAAATGTTTCAAGTAGTTATTGTATTGAAATCTTTTGTTTTGTTTTAAAATACTTGAGTAGAAAACAACATTCAACGTTTGGAACAATTACGGCCATTTTTGAACCGACAACAGAAAACTATTTACGTAAGGTGAATAATGATTAAATTTCACCTAAAAAGGAATGCACCGCTTCAAATTTAAAAATTTCTCATCATAATAATGACAACATTATAAAGAAATGTTTAAAAATAATATTAAATATGATTTTTCACTATTTCCCTGTAGCCAGAAAGACATTAAATCTGACAAATAAAAAAGTTGAATCAAGATAGATTTTTTATTTACAATTAAGATTTGGATGTCTCTCCCAACAAAGACCCTATACTTATATGCGAAAAGAACTTGTAAAAAGTGTATTTCCCTGGGAGAATAAACTATATACCAAGTGTGTCAATATCATTATTGTTCATTAGCAAACATCAGAATTTTCAACAGTTAGTAAGCATTTTTAGCGTAAAGTGCTCGATCAATATTTGAAGTGATCTGTACAATAGCTAAACCTACTGTAATAAGAAGAGGGCAGGATTTTTTCCCTTTTGAATTTCCAACAACAGGTTTGATCTTAACACTTGGCAGTATTTATCTTATAAATTCTATTACGGAGAGAGTGTGTTGGGCAGCGAGCCATGACCGAGCCTCTCTAGCCGGTAATCTTCAGCCAGTTAAGTCCGAAACCAAATAGATTTAATACCCCTACATGCAAAGAGGATCATGGAGAGGGATTGACAAATATCGGTAACATCGGCTAATCTGTACTAATGCCCAATACTCGGAACTTACTACACGCGAAAGATCAGGTTTGTCAGTGTCATAATGTTGAATTAGTAGTGTTGAGTGCATTGCAAGTTTCCACATCTATTAATAGCAAACGTTGTTTATTTCCATTAATGTAAATTAAACCCCATCTTTAAACACTTAAATTTGTCGCCCCAATTTCACGTATCCTCATTTCCCCAGTACCACGAGGCGCATGTACTCTTCAATAACAAATTGAATCGTCTTTTAATTTCGTTTAATTTTTGCCAACCAAGAATATAATATTGTAAAAACTCGGGCTTCGTTCAGTTCATGAAATGCAATAAAAGTGAAATCTGCTGTTTTACGATTCAAGCCTGCAATTCAGAACCACAATGCGTTATATAGGTGTCCCAAGTCAATACAATTACACTGTACTGCATCCAAGTCATCATCATTAAATTGTGTGCCAGAGTCAATACGAGTTACTAACGCATATGAGAGTTAATAAGAGTTACTGGTTTACACAAGTTAACAAGTCATTTGTGAGTAAATGAGAGTTAACCCTTCTCTGCCCTGTCAATGTGAATTAACCCTTCTCTGTCGGAGTCAATGCTAGTTAACCCTTCTGTCAGAGTCGATGCAATTTAACCCTTTTCTGCCTGTGTCAATGTGAGTTAACCCTTCTGTCAGAGTCAATGCGATTTAACCCTTCTCTGCCCTGTCAATGTGAATTAACCTTTCTCTGCCTGAGTCGATGTGAGTTAAATTTTCTCTGTCCGAGTCAATGCGAGTTAACCCTTCTGTCAGAGTCAATGCAATTTAACCCTTTTCTGCCTGTGTCAATGTGAATTAACCCTTCTCTGCCCTGTCGATGTGAGTTAAAGCTTCCCTGTCAGAGTCAATGCGAGTTAACCCTTCCCTGCCCATGTCAATGCGAGTTAAATCTTCTCTGTCGGAGTCAATGCGAGTTAATCCTTCTCTGCCCGTGTCAATGCGAGTTAAACCTTCTCTGTCCGTGTCAATGCGAGTTAAACCTCCTCTGCCCATGTCAATGCGAGTTAAACCTCCTCTGTCAGAGTCAATGTGAGCTAAACCTTCTTTGCCAGTGTCAATGTGAGTTAAACCTTCTCTGCCCTTGTCAATGCAAGTTAAATCTCCTCTGCCCATGTTAATGCGAGTTAAACCTTCTCTGCCGGAGTCAATGTGAGTTACACCTTCCCTGCCCGTGTCAATGCGAGTTAAACCTTCTCTGCCCGTGTCAATGCGAGTTAAACCTTCTCTGCCGGAGTCAATGTGAGTTAAACCTCCTCTGCCCATGTCAATGCGAGTTAAACCTCCTCTGCCCATGTCAATGCGAGTTGAACCTTCTCTGCCAGAGTCAATGTTAGTTTACCAGCCTGAAGTATCTTTGGTCTAAGCCAGCTAATTGAGTCGGTGAGGGCCAAAACAGCTCAGTTCTTGTCTGCATATATAGAGCTTGTTTTGTATGAAATGGACATATTTCCAAATTAAGGAATTGTTATTGCATTGATTTTTGTAGTAGTTTTAATATTCATAGATTTTAACATTTCCACAAACAGACAAAATCAATTTTAACCACACTGTGTGCTGGTAGTCTGAGAGAATCTCTGCCATCAATTTGTGCTTGGCTACTAGCTTACATTTCTTTCCCTGACTTAAATATCATGAAGTTGCAATATAATCTTATTGTTCAAGACCCTAGCCCACTATAGACACATCAAGCAGAATATCTGATAAATAAATTCTGTACCCTCCTTTGAAGGATGCTTTTTCCAAACCATATATTTAGCCCGAAACATATTCAGTACATATACTCCTAAATCTCAATTTCTACAATTTCTGAAAAAAAATCTTGATCGTTTTTTTAGATTTTTAAACGTAATTGGTAGCGAAGATTTTATAATAAACATTTTGGTGCAAAAAGCCATCAATTTTTAAATTGGGGGGACTCCAAAGAAATTTAATTTCTAAACTTTTCTATTAGGATACATGCTATGTTACTTTGAAATTTGTATCACCTTTCAAAAAGACCGCCAGAATAAGAAACCTGTCTCACCAACCTCGATGAATAGTAACTAGACTTGCTTGATTATGTGATAACCCAGATGAAAAGTACACAAGAACTGATGACACATTTCAATTGAAAGGTACAGAAAAATGCATGTATTTTGATCACTTCACCTACAATAACACAAATGAACTCTATAAAGGGACAACTAACACAAATTGCGGTATAATGTGTAAGGTAGCATATATTAACCTGCAGATCAAGTTATCTTTAATTTGCCCAAATAGCTTCTGATTTCTGTCAAAATGTGCAATTTACATAATTTCCCGAGGCTTATCACAGATTTCTGATTTGTCTAATAAGTGTAACTTAATTCCAAGATATTTTTCAGCTTTGTTATATCTAATAATTACTCTTTAGACAAGTCTTTTTCAAAATTTTGATCAAAAATGTCATTAATAAATGCCACAGAAAATGAATATATATCTTAAAATCGAAGATGAAAGATTCTTTTTTTTAAATAAATTACAAAGAATTTTTGCAAAACATCCTGAAAACATAAAACACTGCCAGCAACAGGAAAGCCAAACTGGGCATCAACATGAAATCTTCTGTCAGATTTTATGCCCTTGTGTGTGTTGAAATATCCTGTCACATTTGAGTCGCCAATTCAACCTCAATGACGTCACATAAATTGTTCTAATGGCATGGGCAGAAGGCCATGTCAAAATCTAAAAAGTTAGATCATATAACACATGCCATGATTAAGAGAAGAGGTTCCTGTAAGCATACAAGTTTTAGTGGTGAACGTATTTCAGCATTTTTTGGGGAGGAATCCAACAAACCTGAAAACCAGGTTGAAAGGTCAACAGTAAATGATGCTCTGTGGTTTTGCTGTGTGTTGTTTAGAAGTGCTGAAATACGACCCCAGTAAAGCATGTACATTTAAGGTATGTTATAAAAACTATTCATGTCCTTTATGCCTCTTGCGTCCAAATATTCATGCCGGATGCCAGTACAAATACTTCAGTGTTTAAATAAAAAACTTGTAGAAAAAGAATTACTATTTTTTGAAATTTTAATAATTTAATACATCAATAATAATTACATAAAAGGCAACATTTTGAGATTTTGTTTTTTTCTTGGAATCTGTGGAGTTTTGCAAAGTAGATGTTCTCTTGTCTATTTAGTTACTGTGTCTGCCCTCCAGATTCCATTCCTGAACATCATCATCGTCAGGAACAGAGATGCGTTCGGCAGCCATCTTTAACTGAAATGAATGCAGGATGTCACACGACCGCATCACAAGTTTGCATTTCATTTTCTCTGTCAATTTTATTTTTGACGGTTGCAAATAAAGAGAAACTCAGAATAGACTCTATTTTGAAAAAGCACTGTTATCAATCGTCGTCAAAATATACTGGCATCTGACGCATTTTTTGCAAGTGATCAAAATAGAGAAATGTAATTTTATGGCATCATATCGGCTTGATTTTGCAAGGAAGACACAAAATGGTGACAGGACATGAATAGTTATCACTAACAGAGTCATAAAACCAGCCGAATCTGTCGACAAGATCTTGCATAAGGCCTTCTTTCCCCAATGACGAAAGGTGGCGAAAGGCTCTGATGCAGGTCAAAGTGTCTGCGAGAGGCTGCTGGGTTGATGTGGTTTGATGCTTGAGAGATTATTACGTTATTTCCCCCCGTTTTTGAATGAACTTAATAATCTATCGAACATGTCAATGTTCTGGATTACTGTTCAACATTAAACAGCTTATCCCGACACCGTTCCAGCCCATAGGGAAAATAACACGAAAATAATACTTGATCACTTTTAAGTAAATGATCCATTCCAACACACATATAATCATTTGATAATGGTCTGCAGTACCTGAGCCAAAGGATTGCTGAATAAGACAGGCATGTACATATACATAAATCATATCAAATTATTAATTCTTCCGATCATTAAACAATGGATTACTCGACTTAAAAAGATTATAGAAGGCTTAATGCAAAATTAGCGAGTAATTATTGGCAGGAAGCTTTTAATTTCCTTGAAAGCCATTCTTGTTTTGTTATTTTTTCTTTTCTAAAGTGTACCTTTTGGATTTTGCTATATGTACAAACCAATAGGAAAATGAGGAAAATATTGAAGAATTTTACTTACATGTTTTTCATCTGTTTGCCCATCAGGAAAAATGAAAGGAAAAATGGAAAACAAACAATCAGAATTCATACGTATATACATAAATCATTCCAAACAGTCACACACCGATGTAATACGTATGTCAAAAAACGACACGGACGACACAAAATCCTAAATGATTCATCCAATTAACAGACAAAGCAGTACTGGTGTGTCGTCACTTATAAGGGTACCCGTCTATCCAATTAACCGAATGGCGTGATTTCTACGAATAATTCATACTGACCTATTCACCATAACCTATTATTTGGTTGAATATTTGTTTTCAAGAACAAAACAACAAGATACATTTTTGACAGATAATTTCTTACATAAAACGAGAAAAAATAATTTCCACTTCATAAAAATTTAATCTTAATGCCTGTTGGGCTTGAAGTCAGAAGCAAAATTTTGTTAGAACGCAAGTTTGGACTGTCGCCTCACTTAGTGACACCGTTTTTCTAAAATGCCCCATTTTCCTTCAAAAAAAATCCTTTATAACGATCTTTCCATATATTGCCAGCCCTCTTTATAGTGCCAAAATTCTGGACATTTGATTGCAGTATCACGTTTGATGTTGGCACACAAACCAACAATCAAATACATATCTGGACTCATCAGGCCAAAAAAACAATTTCTATGCAGTGTGTGAAATGAAAGAACATGTGTTCCGTTTTTTTTTTGTATTTCTTTGCAGTACATATACAAGTATCAGTTATGCAGGAATGAAGATTTGAACAGTACTAATTTTACTCTGACCAAATCCCCATTCATTGACCCTGTATGGCCCTTTACCTACCTTTTTCCTCCTTGAGTGAGTTGAGGTGTGTAGAGAGCCCAAGAGCGCTGTGGCCAGTGAGGGCGAGGAGAGTCGACGCTGTACTAGACGGCAGTCCTGGAGGCTGGAGTCCCGGGGGGTGGGGTGGCATCGGGAAGGGTGGCGCCCCATGGGCATGTGCCCCTGCTAAATGTTGGCCAGCCTGCATTTGCTGCTGTAACGAATCACAACATATACATCCTGAAAGTTTTCCATCCAAGACAACACAGGTAGCGTACAAATATAAACAACACAGGTGAAAAAACATGTATGAACAAACAACATTTGACACACAACGACATTCTGGGCATTTTCTGCCTAATTAACAGGTGACGCACAAACATAAACACAGGTAACACCCAAATAAACAAACACTGTGTTGTACGCAATGATGACATCATGAAAGTTTCCAATTTAATTAACAGGTAATATACACATATAAACAGGTAATACATGAACTATAAAACTCTGAAAATCATCAAAAGTTGATACACAAACTTTATGTTTATATATATATATATATATATATTAACGATATATAAAGAGATTTTTTCTACACCCACGAAAATTTAGTTTCATTGAAATCCACAAAAAATTATAACCAGACACCCATTGATTTGAGTGATGACAATCTTGCAGCTGCAAAGTTTAACAGGTTAATGTAAACTTCCGTTAAAGCAGATGGCTGTCGAAAAAAATAATAAGAAAATAGATGCCCTGTAGTCAATTTGTCGAAACATGCGAAGTCATATCGACAACCCATATATATAACTCAAGTTTTCTAGTAGAAATGATTGAATATAGGGCATATTGATAAAATAAGGTTGTGCATTGATTTTTCTGCTACCATGCATTTACTACAAATATCCTCCCCCCCCCCCCCCCCCCCCCCCATCTGTCTGGCTATTGGAATTGAATTTTTGGTGTGTACACATAGATTTGTCCAAATGTTAAAACAACTTCCTGCAGAATCCAGGATTGCATTTCTTGCTGCCATTGCGTAGTCAATATACATTAAAAAAAAACGGACAGTGCAAAAATAAATGTTGAAATAACATGGATCCATGTAATTGCTTATAACATGCACAGCCAAAACATGGAGTAAATTGTTTTCGTAATCTCAGTCATAACAGTAAACAAACTTATGTCAACAGATGTCAGTATTTATCAGCACAGATTTTGATTTATTCAGGTAAACTGCTAAAATAATATTCTCACTTTTACCCCCCAAACCAAATAATCCTGTATCCGAAAAAAGAACTTAACAACACAATTAAAAGTTTGACCGAGTAAGAGCCTCTATCGGCCACTTTTTATCTATTTTTGTTGATAAAAAAAAAAAGTTATATGAATTATTTTTTCCCATTTCTTTACGATATTTCATTTTACTTTTATTTTAACAGAATCTGTCTGTGGCAATAAATGAAATAGAGTTACGCTAACGTAAGTTTGTTTACAATATAAACTCAAACATCAGGGGGAGATCACTTACCCCAATGATGGCATTGAGTTCGGTCATAGTCACCTGTTTGGCTCTTTCTACTGCTGCCGCCACTTGCTGCTGATGCTGAAATGACACAAAACACAATTTTACCTTATATGGCGGTAAACTTTAATGGGTAACTACAAATGACCTTATATGGTAGTAACTTGTAATGGTCAACAAAAAGCTACCTATTATTTGATGGCAAGTTTGCAGGGAAAGCCACGAACCTGTGTCATCTTGAAACTTTTTATGGTGATAACTTAGACAGGAACGTGATTTGGTAATAAAATTGAACAGGAAGTGGTAAAGTACCCTACAGTTTGAATAGCCAGATGACCTTAAAGAGTGTAGATTTCAAGTTAGGACTAGTTCTATGTAAATATATGCATCATACTTGTAGAATATTTTTAATCTGTCTGAGCTAGTATTTTAAATACGAAAAGTGGTGGTAAGTGTTAATAAAAAAACAACATAAGTTACGTTTCATAAATTCAATGTTAATTTTTAATGGGAAACCATGAAGTACCTTATTTCCATTTTCAATTCAGCATGGAAAACCATAGTTTTGTGTCCAAAGTCTGAACAAACATAATTCATCTACGATAGCTAATTGATTGCGAGTACAATACAAGTGCACTTCTCTCAATCACTCCAACACTTTACTCGGCTATACGATACCTAGAAAGCTCGTATATTTGTACCGCTAATTTAAATACTACAAATGACATCTATATGGCTACAAATCGGTAACGAGCATAATTATATAGCACTGTAATAAAGTCTGTTTAAATATGACTAGAGTAAATATTGACATAATTGCGTGGTTGATGTTGGTACGAGCACACAATTGTAGCGTACGGCTATATTTGCTCAGTCCAGAACACTAAATCCCAATATTGACACGGGTTAGTATCCAATAACTCAATCAATTCTATCTTTATACAAATGTCATATTTCTTTGTTCTCCAGTGTTGCAGATAATTACATCAAAATCTATTTTTTCACTTTATTTTGTTTTCCCCATTTAAAAGGTGTCGCACTATATTTGGAAATATCAAAGGAATATATCTATTGCAATACATGCTCTTTACCAAATATGGTCTGTATATTGAAATATACATGTATCCGATATCCGATAAGGATTAAAGTGTTTGTTTTTGGTCCATAAAGAGAACACTTGGAATAGTTTGTCTAGCACTTCTTGAATACACCTTACTGAAGGGGCTGGGTGTTTGAGGTTTGGTGGGGGATGGGGGGAGTATTTATTTATGGGCAAGGTTTAAACTGACCTTTTCATACAAGAATTTCATTGTAGCCTCCTGACTATAATTTTATAATTATCTTCTTGTATATATTAGTTTCTAAAGTAAACAAATGTATCGCAGGAATGTGGAATCTATTATACAAATTCCAGTTAATTACAATGACTTGCAATGGACAGATAATTGAATGTGACCAGCTAGCTGTNTACCCCACCCCTTCCTATCGGTACCATCCCCTTCTACAGATCAGTCTTCTCTATTGAGCTCCAATCCAACCAAACGTAAACATCCACGCCACCGCCATATCTGTACCATTCCTAAGTAATTACAGGGAGTGATAAATATAATTGGACCCGTCTAGGATGTTGTAGAAGGCTGTGGGGAGGGGTACTTGGGCTGATGTCTGGGGGACAGGACACGAATTGGTCTGGACAGGTCTCACCTCCCCACTAACCAGGCTCGAGGCCAGCACCTGCTCCCCATCATCAACCCTAATAACCTCAAGGGCGTCTACCTAGCCGACCACCATAAATCATTATACACCGAATCAACATTAATACTTTGTCCACCAAACAGGGAATCTAAAACGTGATTCATTAAATCTACAAGTTGTGCATATATAATAGTACAAATACATCATAACTTCCCTGTATCAAATTTGACTAGTTATTTACAACATACGTCTGCATAACGTAATCAGAAGCTTAGATTCATATTTGCAACAAAGGACTGCTTAATTAGAACGAACATTCCGAGATGAAAAACATCAATTTGCTTCAAAAATATCATTAACTTTGCTTTTAATTTTTTATTTCAAGGACACCAGAAAATTCAATTACTTCCTTCTTTAAAGTGACTTGACCATGTTTTGGTGTACTGAGTACAGGTTTGACCAATTTTGTCATAAATTTGGGTTTCTTACTTTCACATGACAGGGCATGCATCTGTTAACATGCTTTTCAAAAAGGGGAATGTGGAGTTTTCAGAGCAGGATATATAGCACGTAAAATAACAAATGTTTACACAACAGAATTTACATTGGAGACAGAAATGGAATAACCTGAAAGTGGGAGTTTAATTTAAAACCCCTCCCCTATCCCAAGACAGAAATGGAATACCCTTAGTAAAGGTGGGAGTTTACCCTCACCCGAGACAGAAATGGAATAATCTGAATGTGTAAACTTCAACTTACCTCCTGAGAGAGAAATGGAATGACCTGAGCACAAATAGCATTCAGCCTCTTAGCAATTTCAGTCTGAAAAAAGCAAGAAAAGAGCATTAATTATCGCAAATGAAATCCAGGTACACATTAAAATACTAAAAGTTACATGTTACAGAGAAACCTCTCCAATCCGACACCCTGTGGGAATCAACAAATTACATGTTGGATATGACAGTATGTCACAATAACCAGGTCAGATTGGACAGGTTTTACTCTATACAATACTATAGGTGACATCCCCCTTATCTATTACAACAATCTAGTTTTTTCAGCAACAAAAAACTACAAATTTCAGGGTTTTTTAAATGAATTATATATAGTTAATTGTTAGGAGAATTTTTCCATTTCAAAGTGTATCAACATGATGTCCGGCAATTTCATACTATGTCCTGTTCCCGATATCAAATATCACATTTGACAGCAAAGTCCTGTAGCCATGTTTTATACAATCATAAGTACACATCGTAACTATCTCATTCTAATTTCATCTGCTACTTGAGAATTTTCCGGCTGTTTTTACTGGAATTTTTCAAGTTGCTCTGAAGTGGTGTTGTTTTCATGGGAACATGACTGAAATACATAGTTGACAATGAACTTCAAAAACCAACAACATCACGACAAGTAATATTATAGTCAACAACACCGGGTATTGTCGTGGCCCTTCCCTTGTTTCTATCTAGGTACTGGTGAGGACCCTTGTTTCTTTCTAGGTTCTGTTGAGTCCCCTACCCTTGTTTCTATCAAGGTATTGTTGAGTCCCCTACCCTTGTTTCTATCTAGGTATTGACTAATCCCCTACCCTTGTTTCTATCAAGGTATTGTTGAGGCCCCTACCCTTGTTTCTATCAAGGTATTGTTGAGGCCCCTACCCTTGTTTCTATCAAGGTATTGTTGAGGCCCCTACCCTACACAACAATTATTTTGTTTGGCCTGCTGTTATGCATTACACCAAGGCATAAAACCACAAGAAAAAAATCATCCTTACATCAGAAAATTATTTCACATGCATATATTCATGACCTGCTTAAGAATAATTGCAGATAATTACAATATAATACAAGGTATGCATAAAGTATTAAATGTTTACAAAAGTATTAAATGTTTAGGGTCACTTATGGGCCATTTCTATTTCCTATTGTGTACTATCAAAGTAAATGATTTTCATATTTCTAAATCCATTCTTTCTTGTTAATAATATAATTTTTCTTTTAGGACATTAGACAGGTTTTTTTTTGTAACCCATATTATATTTACATAAGTTACTCATGCTGAATAGCAATTCTAAAATTAAAATCTATCAAATATGTGTTTCAAATTACCAGAAACGAGATCAACTAATTGGTATGCATTAGAAGCTACTAGGATAATTTGTGTAGTTAGCCGAAGTTGGTTTGCATGCAGAGCAGATCGGTTAAGTAATGGGATTCTTAAAGAAAGCCTGTCTTCATGTATCTTACAGCAATTAAGCAATTTTAAAAAGTCTTCATAGGTATTTAGTATTTATGATTGCAATATGTACATTTCTAATTAGCATATTACCTCGTTATGTATCTAGTAATCTGAACTACACTTTAACCCTTTCCACACTGTAAATCATAATGAACTCATCCATATCAATGCATGGCAGAGTCTACTTAAGTTACATAGGGGTGAAAGGGTTAAATCACAGAATCGGGTTCAGTTTTAATAGCTAATTATTTTTGCAACACTAGACTAAAACAACAAAATATTCAACCCCCCCTGCACTATTAATCAAAACCACAACTTCTTCAATATTTTCACACCTTCCATACCTCAAAATAACATTTTACATTCACACTGCATAAGTCCTTAAAGAAATTTAAGCAATTTATTTTTCTTTTGGATAGGCTCATATTGAAATAAGCTTTAAAGTTTAAACAAATATGCCAGAAAAAAATGTAGACTATTTTAATTACAAAGGAATGGCTTCAAATTTCTTTCAGCCATTTATCAGATTTTGACAACTGTGAAATAACAATCTAGAAAAATATTTATTATGATAAAAGAAACTATACTATTATAATTTTTTTTTTATATAAATCTTGATCTTTCTGCAAACAGTTGAAATATCAATAAAGAAAGGGTGCTATATCGACACCGTTTTATTTCCCTTGGGTGCCCTAAAAGGGATTATTGGTAGTGTCTGCAGTCCCGTGTTGACACAGCACACACACTAGATCTGAAAGTTTACAACGTGATAAGAGGCCTTCTTTGTTTTCTTAGTCTATTGATTGTAGACTATCTGGCCTTCTTACGGCCTCAAGTGTTTGCCCACATCCGTCAACAATGCCATGTCGACGGAGAGCAAGTTTGATCAGATATTAGCTATAAAATTCTATCGATTTTCCATTACAACTTTCATTAAATAAAGTTATTGACCAAAAAATGAAAGCTGGCTGGCTGGCAATCTACGTCCCAGCGACCTGTCATACAAGCCACCTCTTTGGGGCCGTGTTTCCATGGAAATCGTATTTGCTCTAAAAGATTATCAATTCCAGTAAAATGGAGGAATCTATTCCGCGGTATTGATTTTATGTTCTTCTTTATGTGTAGCGACGTTTAGGTTGCAATGTCTTAAATGGAGATGTAACAGCATCGTCCACCATCTTAATCAAATACTGAAATGGAATGGTCTGCATACGCTGCGACTGGTCCTTCTGGGAGACTGGTGTAGCTACTTGCACTGTATTTCAAAACATTTTCATTAACCCTTGGGTATGTAACGGTAAAATGAATGCTGCTTTGATCAGGTCTGTATCTCAGCGGAAACCTACAGGTTTTATATAGCCGAATCTTCCAATGCGAGTTAAAAATTTGATCTTTGAGAATTGGGTTTTAATGCTTGTTCAATCACAAAAGGTTGATGTATTCTGTAAGAAGTGTGGGTTTTTTAACTCGGAAATAAAATGAAGTAGGTTGGCTGCCTTCCTCGGCAATCGATAGTCTTAATGGAATGTATTTCCACATGCTTCCTAGGGCTACGGCTACAGCTAATCCAGCGACTGGGATAAACAAGTCGCGCAAACCGCGATCTGTTTAAATGCACACAAATGGAAACCTCCTGGGAATTCAGCAGTCATACATGATACAATTTGGTTATAAAACACCATTTAGTAAGACTGACATCAAATGGTTCTCCGTCAAACTCGCTTCACAAATGCCAACAGCTTTTTGGGCACGTTCTATTTTCATTTCTTATTGCGTTTGAATCTATAATATATTGCTCTGGTAACCGTAGCCTTTATATGGGTAATAATCTGTCCATTATTTAATTATTAGATGAAAGTTGCATGTAATTTCCTCGTCACCTGCCAAATCAAGTGATATGCAAGAAACACAAGTAAATGAAGCTACAGATCACTTAACTTTGCACATATTTGGTAAAACTATATATGTGTTGGTTTTTCCAGGATTTTGTGTTCTTGCTATTTTAAAAGTAATGCACTGATGGTTTCCAATGATGACAGGGTCACTTATGGGCCACTTTATAATGCTACTTCGCTAAAATGTCACAACACGGACATGGTAGTGGTACGCTCCATCCGCCGTCACACTATACGACATTTTACAACAAATGACTCACCAGGAGTGCTTTGGGAAGTGCTGACGAAAAAAGAGCCGAAAGGAAAAAAAGAAAAGATGGAAATCCGAGTGTTGCAGAGAGTGGGGCAGAAGATCAAACTTGGGTTTCCCTAATGCAAGGACGTAACCAGGCGTATGCACGGACGCACAGGCTTCCACGCAATTTTTTCAAGTATAATTTTAACAAGGATCACATCGTAGAACTATATGTGATGAACTTTAACAACTCATATAATCCTTGGCCCTCAGTAAATTCATTATCTCATTGTTATTGTTTTTTTTATTGACTATTTAACGAAAATGTTCCTTGTTCATATGGAACTAATTATTACGCATTTGATCAAAAAATACTACAAGCCAAATATGAAAATGATAAGTATTTCATGTCTCAAACTGCACCAGAATGGGTTCAAGATTCAAAAAAAATCTCGGGGGTGGGTGGGGCCAATTTGGCCCCCCCCCCCTCCCGAACCCCTCAAACTCAGGAGGGGGTAACCCCCCTCCCGAACCCACCCCCTACTCGCGCTTCGTATGCTTCCACATACTCAAAGTCCTGGTTACATCCCTGTAATGTCTATATAATAAAAGCGATAGTCAGGAGAAATCCATGATTTTGAAGAGTTGCCTCATACAATCATGAAGTGGGAAAAAGCATGTCTGTTCTTTTCACAAACCTGCACAGGTGGACAATTAAAGGGTTTACAATCATCTTTTGTAAGATATCAGCACACACCGTATAAAAAATGAGACGTTTTGTGGTTACAACACAGTATTTGTATGGTAGTGATTTACAGAGGTTCATTCCAGTGTATTGGTGGATTCTTAGTAATCCCTAACCCATCAAACAGCTTTCTTCCAATTCAATTGTGTAATTAAAGGAAATACCCTATTTTTAGAACAGAGTCGATGTTTAGACAAGATTGGGTTTACAACATGTTAGCACAGGAGTGTCATCAACAATGAGATGGCATTATCCTTTTAAAATGTCACCACAAATCGATAAGATAGGGCTGGTATATTCCCTATTGGGCACCATGTCGAGAAATAATTGAAAGTCCCCAACATCTGCGACTAGCTAGATAAATGCAAAATGCCAATTCCACATTATGTTTAGCTGTTTTTCATCATCTCCAGACATTTTTACAATCATGCACTTCTCCGATCAGCCTTTGGTCCTTGGTCAGATGAAATGTCTTCCTGCGAGTCACAACTCTGACAATTTCTAGTCGAAAATCCCAAGTAGAGGGGGCTGGAGGTACCTGTAACCATGGTTACCAGGATGATATCAGTGGTCCATATCTTATGTGATATTAAATTACCTGTAAACTATAGTATCACACCTATTTATAACAAGTTTTCCTAATGAACAAAGTCAATTAATACACAGGACTAAAGGGAAAAACTAATATAACCCGCTGAAAAGAAAGAGGTTTCCTAAATGCATAACAACATAAAGAATTTTTCCATTATTCAAGATCACTGATGTCCAATTAACGGGATCCGATTGTATCGACCAAAACCCCACTTCTAGGACACCCTGTATCCACCAATGTCCCACTTCTAGGACATCCTGTATCCACCAATGCCCCACTTCTAAGACACCCTGTATCCACCAACGCCCCACTCCTAGGATACCCTTTATCCACCAACGCCCCACTTCTAGGACCCCCTGTATCCACCAATGCCCCACTTCTAAGACACCCTGTATCCACCAACGCCCCTCTTCTAGGACAGCCTGTATCCACCAACGCCCCACTTCTAGGTCACCCTGTATCCACCAATGCCCCACTGCTAGGACACCCTGTATCCACCAACGCCCCACTTCTAGGTCACCCTGTATCCACCAATGCCCCACTGCTAGGACACCCTGTATCCACCAACGCCCCTCTTCTAGGACAGCCTGTATCCACCAACGCCCCACTTCTAGGACACCCTGTATCCACCACCGCCCCACTTCTAGGTCATCCTGTATCCACCAACGCCCCACTTCTAGGTCACCCTGTATCCACCAATGCCCCACTTCTAAGACACCCTGTATCCACCAACGCCCCTCTTCTAGGACAGCCTGTATCCACCAACGCCCCACTTCTAGGACACACTGTATCCACCAATGCCCCACTTCTAAGACACCCTGTATCCACCAACGCCCCACTTCTAGGACATCCTGTATCCACCAACGACCCACTTCTAGGACACCCTGTATCCACCAAGGCCCCACTTCTAGGACACCCTGTATCCACCAACGCCCCACTCCTAGGACACCCTGTATCCACCAATGTCCCACTTCTAGGACATCCTGTATCCACCAACTCTCCACTTCTAAGACACCCTCTATCCACCAGAACCCCACTTCTAGGACACCCTGTATCCACCAATGTCCCACTTCTAGGACATCCTGTATCCACCAACTCTCCACTTCTAAGACACCCTCTATCCACCAGAACCCCACTTCTAGGACACCCTGTATCCACCACCGCCCCACTTCTAGGTCATCCTGTATCCACCAACGCCCCACTTCTAGGTCACCCTGTATCCACCAATGCCCCACTGCTAGGACACCCTGTATCCACCAACGCCCCTCTTCTAGGACCCCCTGTATCCACCAATGCCCCACTTCTAGGACACCCTGTATCCACCAGCGCCCCACTTCTAGGATCTATCGATATTCATCATTATGGAGATCCGTCTCTATCCACCGAATTTGGTCCCGAATGTCCCTTCCCATTAATGGAATCTGCGTCCACTAATGTCCAAATCAATCAATATGTAATTGTACTTTTGATAATCAGTACAGAATAGAAGTTATTGACCCTTTGGGGCGCTGAGCTAGTCTAGTCCGTGTCCAGCCAGCTAGCACCGAGGAGAAGCCACCAACAGCAGCGTGGCACCTAGTGTCTAAGACAAGTCACTAAGGAACGAATCCACATCCAATTAAAAGACACAATCTGCCTCAAACTGCCCCGTTCACTACATCAATTCCCGGCAGAATGGCAGCGGCCAATGAATTGATGTGTTCACACTTGCTGGTAACAAGGCCGAGTTAATGAATGGAAAGAAGAATACACTGTATCCAGGACAGCAGCATCAGTTGTATTGATCCAGTACTACACAATCTTGAAAAGTAGTTTAAGGAACTTCTGGAGACTGCCGTCTATAAGATGAGTTGTTAATGATGTACATACCAAAATGATTTTTCTTTACCTTTTACTTTTGTACACATAAAAAAAATTAGTTTGAGTCCTCAACTTCACAATTCTTTGCTGCAGATGCCAATCTTTAGTTGTAACCCTTTCACTCCTATACAACTCTAGTAGATCTAGACTCTCGAGCTCCCATGCATTGATCTGGACGAGTCCATTATGGTCTACAGTGGTGAAAGGGTTAACAGCAGATCTCTGGACAAATAAATATCTGCTCATGTTCCTGATGTCAATGTGTACATGTGTAGTATCTGATGTGGATAAACATATTTTATTCACACGTTCCATTGAAGAGACAGTCGGGAGTCCCAATCGAGTTGTATTAGTAGTGTCCATGTCTAACATCGCCCAGGAGATCATTCAAAATCATAAAAAAGTCTTCTTTCCCCGCCCCCCCCTCTTATTCACAAACAACCATTTCTTACTACAATGAAAATGTCATTTGTAAAAGGAAGTCTTCTAAAGCAAGTAAAATGTTAAAAGTTGAAAATGCCAAACCTACGAAGATTGCTCCTTTATTTTGGGCTCGACAGACTATAATTGACGTGCGACGTACTTATTGCTTGCTTGGACAGAAGTCGTTATAAATATCCATAGAGGTACGTTATACATTTTAGATTTATCCTTAGCGGTCCCTTGATCACTGCTGTTATTTCACTTGGAAGGTGTTAAATGTTTGACAGTTGATTTATGTGATAGAGATTCAGCGATGTTTGATGGAAGTGGGGCCGTTCTTTTTTGTTCTGATGTTTCCAGCAGATGATGGTGTAAATATCTGTAAAGATTGCTGTAAGATTGATTTAAATATTTTGCTGTAAAGATGTTAATATTGTTGCACAAGATGTATATTTTCTGTTGTATTAAATAAAGATGCAAATATTCTTCTGCAGAGTAATTGATGCAAAATATTGTTGTGAGGATGATCTAAATAATCTGCTGTAAGGACAATCTACATATTCTGCTGTTAGGACGATCTAAATAATCTGCTGTAAGGACGATCTACATACTCTGCTGTAAGGACTATCTACATACTCTGCTGTAACGAAGATCTACATACTATGCTGTAACGAAGATCTACATACTCTGCTGTAACGATGATCTAAATAATATGCTGTAAGGATAATCTAAACAATCTGCTGTAAGGATGATCTAAATAATCTGCTGTAAGGATGATCTCAACAATCTGCTGTAAGGACGATGTAAACAATCTGCTGTAAGGACAATCTGAACAATCTGCTGTAAGGAAGATCTGAACAATCTGCTGTAAGGACGGTCTAAACAATCTGCTGTAAGGATGATGTAAACAATCTGCTGTAAGGAAGATCTAAATAATCTGCTGTAAGGACAATCTGAATAATCTGCTGTAAGGAAGATCTAAATAATCTGCTGTAAGAATGATTTAAATATTCAGCTGTAATATGATGTAATTTTATATATCCATGTCAAATATTCTGCTGTAAGTACTCATGTTTTCTGCTGTAAGCACTGATGTAAATAAGGGTGCCTGCTGTCCTCAGGTATGTGGGCACCAGCTGTGCACTACACCAATATAACCTACTTCACAGATCAGAGCCGAGATCTGTAGCCCAGCTTACCCTCTCAAATGTCCAGCTTTGTGCTGCCTGGACCAGGTTATTGATTGATGGAGAGAGCATGATCATGTGTTTGCAAATGTTCTGTATCAACACAGACTGTAGCTCCGCCCCCTTGGTGCATTAGGCCACGCCTCCTCAGGATATTGAAAAACTTATCACAGCCCAATTACACTTGTACAAGAGATCTAGAGGTATTCCAGTCAGGAGTCGGGCCTATCCATTACACACGAATACCACCATGTAATCGCAGGCCAGATAGGAGAAAAATTATCTCTTTCTCTTGTATATATGTATATACATATGTTGTCTGGAGTGGAGATTTTCTCTGTTACATGTGACTCACAGCATACCAGCAGGAGTTTCACCACCTCTTTTACAAATAAAAAAAGATGTGACACACCCTCATAGAAAAAAATGGGTTCTGACTGTTGTCCCCGAGAGAACAGGGCCATTGTGTGACCCCAGTCAGTCACTTCCGTGACACACAAAGGGCAGATTTGAAATATGGGAGGAGTCGAGGATTGAAACCCAAGGGACCGCAACACAACAGCATCTGTAAATTTGATCATACTGTCAAGTCATCATGGGAGGGTTCTTAATCTTTTTATTTTATTTTGAAAGCTTAATAATAATTCTAGAAAGTCTCACATAAATCTATGGGGGGATTAAATGAACCCTTTTTGATTTGAAGTGGAGGGGGGCTAAAATCTCTAGTTTCCTCAACCCTGTGCTCTAATACTGATAAAACACCCCTAACTCGACCAGTTACAAAACGCTAAGTGCAGTCATTTAGAGATCGCATTACCCGCAATGTTATCAAGTGTATACCTAGACCATGTGACCTAAGGCATGCCTAGATGGCGATTAGTTTGTATGGGGGAGCCCTTATCGGCAAAAAAATGTGTATCACCTTTAGTTGTGCGAGTCTATTTATGCATCGACACAGTATCTAGATATCTGCTTACCTGTGTAGCTTACACCTGTGTTACCTGTAACGATTAACGTAACTCACCTGTTTATGCATTTCCACATTTAATCCATAGGACATCTCGTAATACTGAAAAAAATATTAATAATCACTTACTAATTAGCATACATTTAAATTTTATTGATTTATATAAAGTGTTTTTTTAATAACCAGATATTATTGATCTGTTGAAACAAATTTAATTTATATGGATTTTTTTCCCCTCAGTGATAAATACAATGATAAATATAATGTATGCAAAAACAAAACATAACGAGGTTGATATTTGATCTTCACCCAACAAAACGATGAGGCCATACCAATGTTATGTTGTGGGTTTTTTGAACTAAAATGATATGTACTGGTTAAAATGCATTTCAATATGAAAGATGGGTGCAGATGCCGTTTAATTTTTAAAAAATCTTCTGTTTATCCTACAATTATCCAGACTCTTAAATTAAACGTCCCTACAGTAGGAACATTAAACAAATGAAGAGTGGTGAAACTTGAAACAGATTTGTTTGGCCTTGAAAGCGGTGTCAGCTAGCACCAAGTAATTACATAACTAGAGAGCAATAATCGAGACATTAGCTCGCCCCTGTGTACCTGTATTGTCAGTAAATTCAGCTTAAGCTTAGCTGCCTAGTCTACAGTGATTTTTCTGTGTGTAAATTAAACACATCGCTCCTAGAATGTGAGTGAGTCACATCATTTCATGTTACAGCCAGTTAACAGGCCACGACCCTAGTGATATCACAGGGGACTAAAATTAATTCAATTAGACCGAATCAATTTACCTTACGTGCCTTCACTACCAGCCAAGCTTTACACGCGCACACTGCACAGACGATATATACAAGCTTCCCTTTACAACGGCATTCCAAATATACATTTTTTTACAGACAAAAAAACAGTGTTTTAAAGTGTCTGGGGATGTGTATGTTACATAAAGTTTGTATAAAAGTGAAATCGTTTTGGGGTGTTTATGAGATGCTATTTAAAAAAATGCATGTTAGATAATTTGTATAAATCTTATCTGGGACCTTTTTACAACCATTTAGAGTAGGGATTTTCACCAGTCTAGATCAAAGTAAAATAGTTTAAATATTCTTAACGGGGTCACGGTTGACTGCGTGTGAACTTACCATGACATAGTGTCGTTGCATTTCTGTCTTTTCCTGGGCCAGTTTCTCACATTCCATTTTTAAACTACACATGAAAAACAAAACAAAATTATCACCTTATTCGGCCTCTTGAAAAACATTCAATCATTAACTGTTTGCTTACAGATCAATTGCATCCAATCTGGGTTATGTGACTCAAGACAGTCAAGTGTCATATACAGGGCATATATATATAAAACTATGCTAGTGTCGTTTTCAGTACAACGACTAGGCAGGCAAACGAGACACAAACACATTTACATATACGTAGTCAATATGTGCCTGTATTTTATTATACGAACGCGTCTAATTGGAGCTAATCGTATGACGTTGTACCTGTGATATTGGGCTTGCAGAAAGCTGAATTCCTCTTTTATTCGATCGCACGATTCCGCCACCGTAAATTTGAACGGCTGGCCGGGTTGATGCGGCGTCTGAAACAACAGTACACGACAATGATAATATACATAGCAAAAAAATGAGGTCATAAAGGGAACGGAATATACGAAAAATGAGCCTGGGGTCCTCGAGCGCGCCGAGGCAGGGCCAGACCCGCCATTCATGAACAAAGAGAGTCGCAAGTAAACAGAAAGCAAAAACGTGCTACGCTGGGCTGAACAACGCAGTGTCGGTCCACTTACCGGGTGGCGATTAGGATACATCGCTGGGTTTGTTAGTATAAATTATATCCCAAAAATTACACCAGTCTTCATTTAGATTGTACTGTTCATACAATCCCACACTAGAATGACTCTACACATACAAAAAACATAGGAAACGACGTCTGCATGGAATGTACTGCGATCGACCAGTCGCTACACACAGCACGGCTCGAGGTCGACCCGCGAATCTGCCTTTATCGGTAATCCATCAAATCATATTCCGTCGTGTGTAACATCCACATGAACCCTAGACCCGGGGTACAGCCTGGTGAACAACTTGAAGCACAATTTGATGATGAAAATCCGGGTATTTTGACGATATATGATGTAAATTCCCTACCGAATGCACAGACTCAACCTCTCTATGTGTATGTGCCCGTGTGAACTGCCTTGTAAAATGCCACACACAGTATAATTCAACACGCGTTATTATTCCGCAAATAACAAAAGCAGGAGGCAAATACATTTGCCATATTTGGGCGCGAGTGATTGGTCAACTCAACAGCTGGCTATCGACTCAAGAACCCCACGTGGAGTCATTAGTTATGCACAATTCACACGCCACTTGACCAATCAGCATCGAGTATTTCCTAGAGTGTGCATAGGTAATGAGAATGTGTGCATAGTAAGTAGGCAAATGTGCATACATTACCTGTCCGTCAAAAAAGTGGGCGTCGAAAGATGGGAAAAGGGAAAAATGCGAATTATCGCCATTTTTTGTGTATTTTTTTAAGAGAAATAAAGATAAAAAAAATCAGTAGGGAAAACTCATTACAGAATAAATCAATTTTGATTGAGTAAAATCTAACACGATATTTTTTTTAAAATTTAGATAGGAAATATTCACGTTATCATGAAGAAATAACCATTAATACATTTGTGCTCGATTGAATCGTTTTAGGTCTGACTTTGATGTCAGTGGTAAAGAAAACGTTGTTTTGATACAAATAAATGAATTGATAACAAGATGGAAATACTGATACAAGAAATTGTAGTCATTAAAATATCTGCATCAAATACTGCATTTACCATGCACAGCCGCTTGAAATAAAAAATAAAACGGATCTTTTGATAATTAAGAAATTGTTAATTAAATGACACTGATGTTGTGTAAATGTTAAATGAGACAAAGAAAGGTAATTATATCTTGAAGTGGTAAGACTTCAACAATGAAGTAAACATTTGGAGTATTTTTCCTTCCAGATGATTTCTGTTGGCAGTAGGTATATTTTTCTCCAGAGGGAAAAGATGCAAGTATGCGGTACATTGCTTGAAGGAATATACTACTCGGATCGCCAGACGAAGGTGGTTAGTTATATTCCTCGGAGCATTATTTTTATAAACTTACACTTTAGCCGAAGGAGAAGGTTTCGTGTATCAGATGACATTTTTTTTAAAATTTAAGCAGAAGTGAGCAAAACATTTTACCTTTCGCTCAAACTCATGCATGACGAATTGGCGTCAAGCATGGAGGTGAGTTTGTGCTCAGTGACGTCATTTAATTGTGACGTGATTGAAAATTACAGCTTCGTGCCAAAAGTATTCGCAATTTGCCCGGATTTACCTTATTTTTAACGCATCTCTATATAATTTCTTTGAATTTTCATGGAACCAATTATTGCGCCACTGAAATTAAATGGATACCATGAAAAATAATTTATTGACGTTTTTCGTATTTTTCCGTGAAATGATTTGCAAAATGTGGTGACTTAATCTCTGAAATAAAATTCCACCGCCATTAGTTTGTAACACAAAGAACAAAAGGCGTAGTAAAATAAATTTCAACTGAATAAGTTGTCATACCTCAAAAAACAGTCAACGCAAATGTATGAAAATATTGTACTTAAAAAAACTATACAATAAATGTGTATTTCAAAGACTATATAAAAAAATATATATTGTACGAACGTCACACCTACTACTGTACTGTTCGTCGATAAACAAAAGTCAAAAGCTGCCGATAACAGCTTTAGAAAAATGTTTTCGCTGATAATTAAGATAGTCTTTGCGTTTTTATAAAAGGTCAATTTACAAGAATTCACCAATTTTGCTCATATTTTTTAATCACTGACACAAAATAACTGTTTGGTAGAGCATTCACTACTTGCAGAAGACTCGTCCACATCTTTTTAGGAATGCTGCAGTAATTTTACTTATAATGGTTTATTACTGAATGACAATTGATATACGACTCTTTCAAATTATGACGAAGAAAGAATAAACAAAAACATATTTTTTTCACTCAAAGTGTGATTAAAACTGAAGTATAATGAGTAATAAAAACACACACACATTAAAGGTCTTTTAATGATGGGTCCATTATTTCTTATTCCGTATCTGGAATTCTAGAATGCAAAAAAAAAAAACATGGCAAAAACAAAAACAATATTCTTGGTAGACTGTTAACCTTTTAGATGTACAAAGATTAAAAAAACACCATATATTTCTTTTAAACGCGTCATGTTTATATCGTTGCGGGTCCCCTATGCTATCGTCTCTTAGACAAAGGTACTTGCCGGTAAAGTGTCGCATCATTATTGCACGATCTTAACACATCACAAAAAAGCCATAGGTTACGGCCTTAAAGAACAAATGGAACGCTAAAACTTTTAAAAAAAAAGGTGTAAAGCATAACGTTTCAAAAAGAAAACCTCTTAAAATGGCCTAAGATAAAACAACTTACCACTAATTTATCGATTTTTTTTATGCATGTGTCACTCAGAGTATAGTCCGAATTATTCTGACGTTTTATCAACTTTTTTCATATCGTTCTGTTCATCGACGACAGACCGATATGAAAAAAGTTGATAAAACGTCAGAATAATTCGGACTACTCAGAGTAGCGACGCTTCACGGGGAGCGATACCGTTATACCCAGTGATTCTTTTCTCCGAAATTAGCTCCGGTTAAGGTTTTAAAAACCCAGCTTTATATCAGGAAAACAATGATATATATTTCTATGAATAGTACATAATTCACATCTACATGACGAGACATTACCTGAACGATTTTGTGCAAAAACCAATACTGATTACGTAATACACAAAGTAATCTTGCAAGTCCTTTGAACCGAATTTTACGGATACAGTATGGAATACGACGGTACTAGGTGTCAGGGACGTATAGGGGAGTGAATAGGACGGTACTAGGTGTCAGGTACGTATATGGGAGTGAACAGGACGGTACTAGGTGTCAGGTACGTATAGGGGAGTGAATAGGACGGTACTTGGTGTCAGGTACGTATAGGGGAGTGAATACGACGGTACTAGGTGTCAGGGACGTATAGGGGAGTGAATACGACGGTACTAGGTGTCAGGTACGTATAGGGGAGGGAATAGGACAGTGCTAGGTGTCAAGTATGTATAGTGGAAGGAATAGGACGGTTCTAGGTATCAGGTACGTATAGGAGAGTGAATGGGACGGTACTTGGTGTCAGGTACGTATAGGGTAGTGAATACGACGGTACTAGGTGGCAGGGACGTATAGGGGAGTGAATACGACCGTACTAGGTGTCAGGTACGTATAAGGGAGGGAATAGGACGTTACTAGGCGTCAGGTACGTATAGGGGAGGGCAAAGGACGGTACTAGGTGTCGGGTACGTATAGGGGAGGGAATAGGTGTCAGGGACGTATAGGGGAGGGAATAGGACTTGTATAGGTGTCAGGTACGTATAGGGGGGTGAATAGGACGGTACTAGGTGCCAGGTACGTATAGGGGAGGGAATATGACGGTACTAGGTGTCAGATACGTATAGGGGAGGGAATATGACGGTACTAGGTGTCAGTTACGTATAGGGGAGGGAATAGGACTGTACTAGGTGTCAGATACGTATAGGGGAGGGAATAGAACTGTTCTAGGTGTCAGGTACGTATAGGGTAGTGAATACGACGGTACTAGGTGGCAGGGACGTATAGGGGAGTGAATACGACGGGACTAGGTGTCAGGGACGTATAGGGGAGTGAATACGACCGTACTAGGTGTCAGGTACGTATATGGGAGTGAACAGGACGGTACTAGGTATCAGGTACGTATAGGGGAGAAAATAGGACGGTACTAGGTGCCAGGTACGTATAGGGGAGGGAATATGACGGTACTAGGTGTCAGTTACGTATAGGGGAGGGAATAGGACGTTAATAGGTGTCAGGTACGTATATGGAAGTGAATATGACGGTACTAGGTGTCAGATACGTATAGGGGAGGGAATATGACTTTACTATGTGTCAGGTACGTATAGGGGAGTGACTAGGACGGTACTAGGCGTCAGATACGTATAGGGGAGTGAATAGGAGGGTACCTGGTGTCAGGTACGTATACGGGGGGGATTAAGACAGGTACGTATAGGGGAGTGAATTGGACGGTACTAGGTGTCAGGTACGTGTAGGGGAGTGAATATGACGGTACTTGGTGTCAGGTACGTGTAGGGGAGTGAATATGACGGTACTTGGTGTCAGGTACGTGTAGGGGAGTGAATACGACGGTACTAGGTTTCAGGTACGTATAGGGGAGGGAATAGGTGTCAGGGACGTATAGGGGAGTGAATACGACCGTACTAGGTGTCAGGTACGTGTAGGGGAGTGAATATGACGGTACTTGGTGTCAGGTACGTGTAGGGGAGTGAATACGACGGTACTAGGTTTCAGGTACGTATAGGGGAGGGAATTGGACGGTACTTGGTGTCAGGTACGTGTAGGGGAGTGAATATGACGGTACTTGGTGTCAGGTACGTGTAGGGGAGTGAATACGACGGTACTAGGTGGCAGGGACGTATAGGGGAGTGAATAGGACGGTACCTGGTGTCCGGTACGTATACGGGAGGGATTAAGACAGATACGTATAGGGGAGTGAATAGGTCGGTACTTGGTGTCAGGTACGTAAAGAGGAGGGAATGGGGGGGGATAGGACTTTTATAGGGGTCGGGTACGTATAGGGGAGTGAATAGAACGTTACTAGGTGTCAGGTACGTATAGGGTAGTGAATACGACGGTACTAGGTGTCAGGTACGTATAGGGGAGGGCATAGGACGGTACTAGGTGTCAGGTACGTATAGGGGGGGGATAGGACTTTTATAGGTGTCGGGTACGTATAGGGGAGTGAATAGAACGTTACTAGGTGTCAGGTACGTTATAGGGGAGGGAATAGAACTGTTCTAGGTGTCAGGTACGTGTAGGGGAGGGAATAGGACGGTACTAGGTGCCAGGTACGTATAGGGGATTGAATAGGACGGTACCTGGTGTCAGATACGTATAGGGGAGGGAATAGAACTGTTCTAGGTGTCAGGTACGTGTAGGGGAGGGAATAGGACGGTACTAGGTGCCAGGTACGTATAGGGGAGGGAATAGGCCGTTACTAGGTGTCAGGTACGTATAGGGGAGGGAATAGGACGGTACTTAATAGGACGTTACTAGGTGTCAGGTACGTATAGGGGGGAATATGACGGTTCTAGGTGTCAGGTAT